GGGGCCCTCGGCTCCGGGAAAGGTAACGTCCAGAGGTGGGCCGGGCTCGGGGGAATCGGCAGAGCGGACGGGGAGCGTCCTTGCCTGGCAGGACCCGGCCCTGGGCTGAGTGCAAGGGGGCCGAGCTCCAGGCCCAGACCCAGCACGCGCCCCTTGGCTGCCCTTGGCAAGGTCACAGCTTCTCAGAGCCTCAGTGTCCTGATCCACAAAACGGGGACGATAATATCACCGACCATACAGTTGTGTCAACATAAAATGATACGTGTGGACGTGACACGTTACTGTAACTACGAAGGAAGAGCAGCACGGGACATCGTGTTTCACTGGGAAACTTTCTAAACCTGCTTCATTCAGTGGCCAAAGGTCCCCAGGATCTCGTAGGAAATTCAGTCACTTGCAGGCAGGAGAAAAGCCAGCAGGACGATGTGTGGAAGGGGAGGTCAGAGGGGCGAGGAGGGACGCGGGGGGCCACCCAGACAGCGAGAGAGGAGGAGAGGGCAGGGCGAGGAGAAGGCTGGACAGCTCCTTAGTCCGGCCGCCAGTGCCACCGCGTCCGGCGGGAGTTCAGCCTCACGGGCAGGTCCTGGACTCACCCCGTAGATTCTCAAACCAGTTGCTGCCGCTATCCACTGTCCCCACCCTTCCGCCAAAGCCCCCGGGGAACCCCGACACCTCACCCCGCATCCTGCAGGCAGGTATAAGAACAGAACCAGCCTATCCACAGCTGTCGGTAGGGCGACGTGAGGACACTGACGAGCTGCCACTCACGTTAAGCCCGGCACGCCGTGAGCATTCTGCGAGCGAACGGTCGGCAGATGTGGAAGGACAGAGCATGCCGAGAGTGTGGCAGACGTCAGGCAGGTGGCCCCAGGAAGGCTCAGCACACGCGGCAGTGGAGGACGTGACTGTAGAGCTGCACGCGGGCATACGGCTAGGATGCTGGGAGGTGGCAGCAGGTCCCGGCGCCCGAGTCCCCGGGAAAACGGGACAGAGGGCATCTTGGAGGGAGTGGGCATTAGACAAGTTATAGACCCAGGGGTTCAGACAAAGCCTGGCGGACTCAGCCGGGAGCCCCAGTCAAGGCTTGGTCTCCGCCTGGGCCATGAGACGCGGGGCCTGAGCAGAAGCCTAGGTGAAGATAGACCCCACTTCCAGGAACAGGCGTGGACAGGTGGGGGAGTTCTGGGGACGAGGACAAGGAGGTCAGTCCCATTGTGGGGCAGACGTGGCCTGCGGAGAAAGAAGTCACCCACTTTGATCTGGGGGGTCTGAAGAGGACTGGGCGACAGACACCTCTGCCTCGATATCTTTGAGATTCACCCCTCTGGGTTCCCAAAACCGCCCCGATCTCAAAGAGGAACCCGCAGAAACACATGAACTCCCGGCCAGAAGCACACGAATGCCCTGAGTCCCCCTCAGCACTCCTGCCACGGGCCCGAGTCGATTCCCGGGGAGCCCATCAGTGGAGGCCGGCCCCGCGGCCCTGCGGCACCTCGAAGGAAGTCGAGGTCCGGGAAGGAAACGGGGAGGCAGCAAACCAAAGGCACCGCGGCGACGGCGTGTCCTTCCTCTGGGCCATTTAGCTAAGTTCGCCCCACAGAGCGGCTGTGGGGGGTGATTCGCCCGCCTGATCCCATGATGACACTACACTGAATAGAAACGTTACAATTTTCCCCATGGGCAAGAGACTTGGTGCCGTAAGGTCTTCGTCCGAAGAAACCCTGCGGTGAGAGAGTGGATGCCCTGAAGACGCTCTCAGTGTTCACGTCCCCGCTCTGCAGACGGGAAACTCACAGCAGGAACGGAGGTGCCGTGAGGTCCGGCGGCCGGGGGCGCCCGTGAGCCCCGATCGAGACAGCGAGAACACAGACCCGCAGGTGCCGTTCCTCGCGGCCGAGGTCAGCGGGCAGGAGGCCTGACTCGGCCGGAACTGGAATTTTCTCGTCATCAGTGCTGCCGGAAGGTGGGAGAGGTGAGCGAGCTCTTCCCGGGACAGGCTGCAGTGCCTCTCAGGGACTCACGCAGCTTGGACCCTGGACGGAAGGGTCTGGCTGCCTGCACGCCCCTCCCCACCCCTTCCCGCCCCCCAAGGGCCTCTGCGCCCCGCGCGGCCCTCCCGGGCCCGCCCTGCTCAGCCGGGGCTTCTCGAACTCCAAGGAGCGCCGGAACCCGAGGCCCCGCGTCTGAGATTGCGATCCCTCTGCAGACGCTCCTCAGGCCACGCTCCGAGAACCCCGTGACCACGGCTGTGTTCTGGACCCATCGCGGCTGCTCCTGCCGTGAATAACCTGATCTGCACTGAGACGCTGGTGGCTAAATCATGTTGTGAAATGTTTTCCTCAAGGGGCATTTGCAATGTGACAGGGAACAAACAGAAACAGGGGGAATTCAGAAAGTGACAGGCTGCGGGGTGGAACGGGGCAGCTTCAGGACAGAGGGTCCCTCTGCGTCACCTCTTAAATTACAGTCCTTGGCAGGATGGCTGCCGAGGCCGGGGGACAAAGCCACTCGGGGACATCTGTAGGGAGCATATGGGTTTGGTCATGTGCTGCTCCGGGTCCAAGTCATTCTGAGAGCATTTGGAGCAGAGAACACCCTAGTTCCCTCCTGAGGCCATTGTGTCCTGGATCCAAGGCCGCTGCCATAGGGTCACGGCCCCAACTCAACCCACCGAGTACAACGGCGTCTGCAACTGTGTGAAAGCTGTGATTCCGGGAACGGACTCGGGTCCTCATGCTCCTCCACTGACGGTGCTAACCGCCCCCGGCAGGGGACTGCAGCGAAGGCCACCAAACGAGGGGGCTGTCCACTGCTCTGCCAGCACGCCCCCCCCTCGCCAGCACCCTGGCCTGCGGCTCCCTCCCGCCGAGAGCTAGGGCAGCGGCCTCACAGCCACCTGCCCGTGGCGCCATCGGGCTCTGCAGCCTCACAGGACAGGCGGTGCCCTTCCCAGTGCGAGGCCTGCCCGTCCATGTGGTCCCGGAGACCACCTGCTCCCGCCTCCTCCAGGACTGCACGGCCCTTGGCCCCCTGAGCCTCCCCAGGTGAGCAGGGGCCGGTGTGCGTCCAGTGTACCGCAGTGCCCCGTGGTCCTGCATCTCCCCAGGACCCCTCCGCCTAGCCGAGCCTGTGTCGGGGGGTATTCCTAACCAATCACGTTTCATTCATTCATTCCACAAACGGGCCTACAGCTCTAGTGTGCGTGGCACACTGCCCTGGGTGCTGGGGACACAAAACAGGAACAAATGGCCGCAATGTGAAGGTGGCCCAGCTGGTTCCCGGGCAAGCACGCTGGTGCAGGGGCTCAGAGCCGCCTGCTCCCCTGGGAGCCAAGCCCCGGGCACCTGCAGCAGACCCCAGAACTGTAGTCCCTTCGACCGACCGGGAAAAGGGGCAGTTCCCCGTTAAACTGCCGAGCGGAGGCTGGTGTCTGAAAGGGGGGCTTCCGCCCAGGCTCCCACACTGACGGGCGCCCCCAGCCCCAGCATCTGATTCCAGCCACATGTGGAAATAAATAAGGGGGCCGTTTACGTTTCCTTAGGAACTATCTGCAGGAAGTGTTTAAACATTAATGACACCTGTAACCGTACCTGGACACTTTAACTGGGGCGAATGCCCTAGGCCCAGAGAGCGGGGCTGAGCGAGGGGCCACATGGCGCCGAGTCACCCACCCGTGACGTGAAGGAGGCGCCTGGACTCGTGCAGTGCGTGGCACGCACTGCGGCCCGTTGTCTCTCTGTCAGGGGCAAAGCGATCGGGCAAGCTAGAGGGAACGACTTTTAAACAATTCATTCCTTCTGCAGCATGGGCGTCATGGAAACTACCCAGAGGGGTGGTCAAGAGTAGACGCTAATTTTGAATAGCACCTTATATGGTGCCTAACACATACCAGGCAGCCCAGAACCAGTAGATGGGCCCACAGTCTCCAGTCATCATACCAGACTAGGGCAAGAATGAAGAATCAAAATCAAGGAGCTTAGGAAGATGAAACGGAATGACAGAAGGCAGCAAAGGAAAGCGAACAGGACGTGAAGTAACGGGCACGAACAGAAAACACGTGGTTCCTCTCGATGTGTTAGTCGAACATGAGACGGCCGCGGACTGCTTAAAGTGCCAGGTCCGCTAGACGGAATGAGAAACAAAACCCCAAACACAACCCACTGCGTGCGGCTCACAGAAATGCACCTTCAACGTCGGACCCAGGAAGATCAAAGGTAAAAGGATGAGAAAAGAGACGCGACACGAATCCTAACCCAGAGAAAGTCGCGACGGCCCTCTCACTGCCCCAGACAGCGCAGACGGGGGGCGAGCAGCATCGCTGGGGGCGATGAGGAAAGGCTGACTCTCCGGGGGGAGATGGCGGTCGTAACGTCCTACACATCTAATAACGGCCCCAAAATATGTGCGGCGAAGCCTGGCGGGGCTGCAGGGAGGAGCGGACAGATGCGCAGTCTTCACTGGGGACCGGCGTGCCTCCCCCCGGTGACCGACGGACAACGGCACGACCAGCAGCGATGAAGAGGCGGCAGTTTTTAAAAAGTCAGTAGTCGATAAAAGTCGAAGGAGAGAAGAAGTCGACAAAGATATAGAACGTCCCCGTGACACTGCAGCCTGACAGCTACGGCACCGTGCCCTCAGCGCGGACGGAACACAGTGCACCTGCCAAGTTAACGAACATGGGCTTTCTGCTCGGCCGTAAGGCAAATTCTCAATAAATTTCAAAAGGTCAAAGTCATAGAAGGTGTGTCTCTGGCTGCAGCAGAATTAAACTAGAATTCGATAATGAAAATCCTATTGGAAAATCCCCAACTAGATAAAAATTAAGCAATTCTTCTAGCGACCGATAGCTCTTCTCAACAGGGACGATGACGACAGGGATTACACCTTCGAGAGCCGGAAGTCTATCTCGTAGGGGAGAAGAGACGCACCCCTTTCCTGGAGAGCCACCACCACGCGGGGCCGAGCGCGGCAGGTCCCATACCAGGGGGGTGAGGAATGTTGCAGATGAGGCCCTGGGCAGGGACATTCACACGTCCCCGAGCTGTGGGGACGGGGAGGTTGGAAGGGCCCCTGGAGTCGACGCACATCCACTCGACCTTAAAGGTCAGAAGGGACTTGATCACGCGCAAACAGGGGAAGAGGCCTTCGATGCAGAAGGAGCAGTGTGTCCCACAGCTGGCTAGACGAGCGTCAGATGTCATCAGGGACAGTAGGTCGTCTAATTGGACTGGGGAAGGCAGAAGGGGCAGGTGCTGGGGGCTCTGGAGGCCAGCCAGGTGGCCTGCAGGTGGTTCTGAGGCCCAGGGGGGCGTCGAGGGAGGACCGTGAGCCAGAGCGTGGCCCGAAGACGCGTCCCGGGGGAGGCCGGCAGGAGCGTGCGAAGCGGCCGGGGCCAGGGGTCGGAGAGGGTCAGGAGAGGGGGAGACAGGAGGCCTGCTGGGAGGAGAGCCGCCCCGCGGCAGTGATGGGGAGAGGGGAGAACACCCCCGGCCCCCGCCCCACAGGCCACCCACTCCCCTCGCTCAGGAGCTGCCTAGCAGAGCACAGAAGTCGCTGCCTAATTGCTCCTTTCAAGGTGATGCTGTGAAGCGGGACGCGGCGTCTGACGTGTCGTCTCTTCCTGCCGCCTCAGCCCCGACTTGACAGCCGAACCTTTCTAAAAATAGACTGAGACGCCCCCCCACCCCGCCGACGCCCCCAGACCCGCAGAATCCCATGTTCCCCGTCCCCGGGCGCCTCCCCCTCTGGAGGCCCTGTCGTGTTGCGTGTCCCATGTCCCGGCAGCTCCCGAGCCCTCTCTGGCTAGAGTCAGGAGTGGCCGGGGTCTGCCCTGACCCTCACTTGGTACTTCTCCCAGAGGCCCTGGGCCAGGCCCACTGAGGTGAGGTGGCACTGGGCTCCTGCCCTGTGACAGCAACACGCATGGAGGCCCCAGGACCGTCCCCTCCCTCCCCCGAGAGAACTCATGGGGCAGGGCCAGCCTGAAGGCTGCTGTCCACCCTCCGCACAGAGGACCGGCTCCTGTCACCCCACGTGACAGCCCCTTCCCTCCGTCACCCCACTGATGTGACAGTCCCTGGACCAACTTCCCCTCCTGTCTACAGCCACCCCCCTCCAAGACCTATCCCCAGCATCACACAGGAGGCCACCTTCCTGGAGTAACGAAGGGTGTCTGTCACTGCAGGCACACTGGCCAAGAAGCCAAGGGCAGGGAGCAGTGTCCAGCTTGGACAGGGCTCAGCACATGGCCTGGTGCTGAGCTACCGGTTGCTAGAAGAATTGCTTAATTTTTATCTAGTTTATCAGCCACCCGAGCCACCGCATCCTCCCCCATCAGCTCACGCTGGCACCCTCCCTCTCTGCTCCTGCTTCTGGCCCCGATGCACACCTGCCTTCCCTGACTCCCTCGGGCACCAGGGAGATCAGCACCTTCGGAGTGCGTTCCGCCCTGAAGTCGCAGGGAAGGCTCCCCCTGCACCAGGTCCCGTGCGTGCCTCGCTCCTGCGTGTGTCTCCCCGAGACAGCGTTGGTCTGTCACGTAGCGTGTCGTCAGAACCTGGGAGACAGTAGCTGCCGTCCGGGCCTTGATCATAGTTATCTCAAGCCCTGGTCTCGACCCCGAGCGTAAGCTCCTTCGCCTGATGAATGGGGACTGGGTGCTCTGCCCGGGCTCCAGGCTCACGCTTGCCTCCCCAGCTCACCCTCTGATAGTAGGTGTCATTCTCTACGCTTGGAAGAGGAGGAAATGGGATTTGGAGGCAGAATCGGGGATCCTGCCAGTATTTACAAGATTAGCATGTGACAGTCTGGATTTGAACCCAGGGCTGTCTGGCCTCAGAGACCACTTTCTCCTGTCATAGCCTGAAGTCCACGGGCTCGATGTGGGGAGGTGCTCAGCGAAGTAGGCAGGCAGGTGAGCCAGCCGCTCAAAAGGACTGTGTAGATCACGTGACCAGCCAGTGACACCCACATCACCACTGAGAATGGGGACTGCTTCCCTGAGCGGCTCTCTCTCCCGAGGGCCCCGCTCCTCCTCGTTCGGGTGGGGGCGTCAGCATTGCCAAGGATGCTGGTCCCTCCCAAGACTTGAGCCAAGTGGCATGTAATGCCCCTGGGTGGCCTTACTGGTCCCTGGGTGGCTCAGGCACAGGTGAAGGAGACGAGGTGGAGGGGGCCGGGGCAGTGTGGGGGACGAAGCTTCTCAAACCTCGGCGTGCCCACAGATCACCCGGGGTCTTGTGAAGACGCAGACCCTGACCCAGGAGGTGTGGGGTGGGGCCTGGGACGCTGTGTTTCCGACGAGGCCCAGGTGACGGCCGTGCTGGCCCGCAGACCACAGCCGATCGCGGGGTGAGACAGCCTCGCCCGGTCCCTGGGCCCCGGGCCCCTGGAACCCGCTGTTCAGCACTGTGCCTGCTGTGTTCTCCCCGCAGACGCTCTGAACGCCACGTGCGTGGCGCCCGTGGAGCTGGCCGGGTGGCCCATCGCGCAGGTGGGCAATCCGCTGCGCTACATGTGCATCACGCACCTGGACCGCCAGGACTACCTGTTCCTGCTGCTCATCGGCTTCTGCATCTTCTCGGCGGGCACCGTGGCCGCCTGGCTCACGGGCATGTGCGCCGTGATCTACCAGAACACCCGCCGCAAGTCGAGCGAGGCGGAGGACGAGGACGAGAACGGGCAGCCGGTGAGGGTCAGCAGGCAGATCTTCAAGAGCAGGGCCGACTCGGTCCACGACGGCTTCCCGCAGCTGATTTAGCTGCCAGAGGCCAGGCTGCAGGCCCTGCCCGGCCCCCGCCTTCCCTCACACCCACCTCCCCATGCGCGCGGAGCTGTCGGACCCACTGAAGCCTATCGGCGAAATAAATAAAAGGTCTGGTGGCCAGTTCTCAGGCTGGTCCTTTCCCGCTCGTCCAGCCCAAGGGCACCTGGGTGGGCTCAGCAGGGGGGCATGGAATGGAGCCCCGAAAAGCTGGTGTGGCAGCTGAGTGCCAGGACACGCACCCCACCGCAGCAGCGTCGGGTGAGCCGAGCACTCGCCCCGCACACCTCTGCCCTCCGCCCGGTGCTGTGTGGGGGGAGCCAGGAGACCCATGCCACACACTCGACGCCCCCAGACCAGCAACTGGGGCCTCCTGGGGCCAGAGCTGGTCCCAGCCGCAGGCCAGGGTCAGTGGCCCCACTGACCGCAAAGCCACACAGATGCTGGGGGAGCGGCCGCAGCCGACAGCTCCTGCCCACCACCCCGTCGTCCCTGCCTCGCTTAAGCGACCCCCACTCCCCACGGTGCGGTGGAAAAGTGCTGACTTCCGGCCCTTCTGCTGTGCGTGGCCGTAAGAAGTCACCTCACTGCTTGGGTCTCAGTTTCCCCAGCCGCGAAATGGGGTGATGAGACTGGATGGCCTCGAAGGCCACCTTCACTCTAACCTTCTGAAAATGACTAGGGATAACGTCCAGGACCTCGAGGAATTCCTGCTCATCGAAAAGCAGAACACGAGGTCCCCAGCAGAAAAAAGTGGCCAAGGTGAAGAGCAGGCAATTTACAGCAGAAGACGCCTCCAAAAGCAGTGAGCACCCAGAGAGGCGCTCGGACTCGTCGGTGATCAGAGACGTGCGAACTGCAACAACAGATGTCACTGGATGCTCGTTAGATGGGCCAAGAAAAAAGAATTGAAAAACACGTTGGCAGAGACGTGGGGCCAGGGGAGGGGACGTGCACGGCCGGCCCCGAGGGCAATCTGGCACAGCTTACGTCAAACGGGGTGCCTGCCCTGCCACCCACAGGCCCACGCACGCCCGGGGGCATCGCCCGCAGGAATGGTCACACGAGTCTGCAGTGGAACACGCATGAGGACACCCACTGCGGCATCACGCGGGGGGGCAGGGAGCTGGAGGACTGACTGGGAGGAATTTGTGGAGCGCTGTGGGACGGTTACCAGCCACCGAGCAGACGTACGTGGGGACGCGGATGGGGCTCAAAAACGCGACGCCGACTGGGAAACAAGGAGACGTGAATGAGAACCGTCACTGACACTCGGACCCCGAAACCACACGGACAAAGCCAGAGTCCCCACGGTGTCCCTCACGATCTGCCTCCTGCTCCCCGCACCATGCCCGGTCCCTCACCGACATCATCTCCCCCCGGTCCCCACTGCTCACCCTGCCCCAGCCTCACTGGCCACCTTGCCGTCCCTCTGCCCGGAGTTACAAGCCCTGAAAACACACGCACACATACACACACACACGCACTCACACACTCACGACACACACTCACGACACACACTCACAGAACACTCATGCATTCACATGCATTCACTCGCACACTCTCGCACACTCACGCACGCACACACTCCGTCCCCCTCACCCTGCTCCACCTCCTCGGACAAGAGGTGAACCTGATAAGCAAACTGGACAGTAAGGGGTCTGCACCAAGCTCCCAGGGGGCGGGGGCCTCGGCCTGTCTTGTCCACTTCTGTCACCTTGGCACCTGGAACAACGCCTACCACGAAAGAGACGCTCGGTAAAGTCTTGTTGACAAAATGGATTGCAAGACCACGCCACTTACAGACACTTGAAACACACTGAGTGACTGACAAGCCCCGGTGAGGAAAGGCGGAGGGCCAGCGGCTCGGTTCCCCAAGCGGGCCAGGTATTAGGCCAAGAGACTAGCACTGAAGAGCAATACAAACTTGTTTTTCAAAGAGTGACACAGTCTGCTAGCTGGGTGACTGGGGCCTCGGTCCCCATCGGCGCAGCGGGTGGCCCTCGGAAGGGGCTTACATTCTTCAGCTCCTGAAAAACAATAACTTTAGGGAGAGGAGAGTGGTCCCCGCACCCCACGCTCGGCACCTGTCCCCCTCACGTGGGGCTGGACGCCCCCCAGCTGCGTGACCGTCGTCACTCGCGTTCCCTCTCTGGGCCTGAACTTCCTTAGTGCAAGCAAAGTTTGTGGACGGAGCTGAGTCCCCGTCTGCCTCCGAGCGTTTCTGCTTGCGATTACGGGGTTCATACGGGGTGCAGCCCGGAAGTGGTCTACGGGCAGAGAATTCAGTTTCTCTAAACCTTACAGAGGGCGCTACACAGCTTTATTTAACAGCAAAAGAATAAAAAAGAACCAGCAATGAGGCCACGCCGGGTGGAAGTCAGGGTCGGGACACTCCAGAGGGAGGCACGTGCAAAATCCCCGAAGTAGGCGGGGACAGGGGGTGACATTTAAAATCCAGACGGCTCTGGCAGGACAGCACAAACTCCCCGAATGGTATTGATCATAAGCCTTGTACACCAAAACGTACAAGCCAGTGCCGAGAGAAATCGCAGAAGATTTAAGTAAGTAGGAAGCCATCCCATATTCATGCCGGGAGCTGGGGGGTGGGGGGTGGATTGTCCTCCAAGTGGATTGGCAGGTTCAAGGACTCAGCAGGCCTTTTGCAGACTCGACAAGGTGATTCTAACTCCCCTAGAAATGCAAAGGACTCAGAGTAGCCAAAACAACTGGGCAAAGAAGGGCCACATGGGCGGACTTAGACTCCCGATCACGACTCTGACCATAGAGCTGCCGTGATGGAGACGTCCGCGGTTGCCTGGTCCGGGCTGGGAGCCGGAGGTGACCGCAAACGGGCACGGAAGAACTTTCGGCACGACGGAATCGTCCAGAACTGGGTGGTGGTAGTGGACGCACGGCCCCGTAAACTTACTGAATCTCACGGACTTGTACACTGAACACAGATGAAGTTTACAGTGTGTAACTCGTTCCTCAATAAACCTGCTTTTTAAAGGGTCTTAGTCGGTTCCTCTGCAGAGCCTCTCAGACGAGCTGAAAGGGAAGCCTGGGTGAGTGTCCCTAGCCTTCCAGAAGGTCACCAGGCCCTGTGTCAGCGCTGGCGGGATCACCCCAGCAGCCCGCAGAAGCGGCCCCCACTCCTTCACTTCGGTGACTCTTCACGGCCCCAGTTCAGGTCGCTGGCAGAGAGCTCATCTTGCAGACATACAGTAAGACTTATAAATACTTTAGGGCCTCAGGGAGCCCCGTCAGTTCCCTGCGATGGCCCCAGTGACCCAGGGCAAGGAAAATTCTATGCCTAGGCGCCCGTGTCGGAGAGCAGCCTGCCCGCCAGGCAGCCTCAGATGATGAGCTGTCTCATTAATACACAGTTGGACCTTAAGGCACCCACGCTCTCTCAGAAGCTAATTCCCACAAGCTACTGCAGCCGACACCTGGAAAAACAGGCCGAAAGCAGGGAACTCAGACCCGGAGGAGGGGCAGGGACCCTGACCGGGGAGCAGGACACGGTCCTCCGCCTGGGCTGCGTGACGAAACACCTGGAAAGCTGTTTAAATATGCTGTACCCGGGCGCCGCCCACAGAAGTCCGGCTTTGATGGGCCCGCGATGTGGCCTGGGCACACGTGTTTTCAAACCCCCCCATCCAGGCGATTGTCCTGCAGGGCTGAGGACCGGCAGCTTAGGGGGAACGGTGGTCAGAGCACGGTCTCCCACCCATGGCTCGCCGCAGCCCGAAGGCCCTCCCTCCGGAGAAGGACCCTCTCCCCTTCTCCCCAGCTGAACGCTGGGCCCCAGGGTGCCGTCACCTGCAGCGCGGATGTGGCCTCTTGTTGCATTTACCCCAAATGAGAGTGTGTCAAGGGAACCCCCTCGACCACGACACCCAGCGAAGGAGCGAACGCTAATCAGGTCACTGGCAGTGGAGAGGGGGGAAAGTTCAGCCTTCAGGTCAGTACTCAGGCTCCGCCCTACGCCCGGGACAGCACGGGGACAGGACCACCGAGCTCCGAGCTCCGAGCACACGGCCGCACGGGCAACATTAAAGGCGGCGATGAAGCACTCATCTCGGGCGTGAGCGACCGTGAGCGGGTAGGGCACAGCCCCCTTCCTGCCAGCTGGAGCGGACAGAAACAGCTTTGGGGGTGAGGCAGAGCCGGGCGCGGGCCTCGTAACCGACAGAATTGGAACTGGGGGAATCGTAAAACTAAGCACCAAGGACATAGTCGCAAGAGCACGTGCCATAAGCCCGACGGCGGCGTATTTAGACCTCGCATCCACCTTACCGTCTTCATCTTACAGACGAGGAAATGGCCCGGAGAGCTTCCAAAACGTGCCCGAGCTCAGAGTCGGTCGGCAGGACACGCAAGCTCCAGAGGGCGGCACCAGGAGCCCAGGTGGAGGAAAGCCCTGGCAGCTGCTGCAGCACCTGCTCAAGAGAGGTGGCCCGTGGGGGGCCCATACCCCTCCCTCCCCGGGACTGGAGGAGTCTCGCCTTTAATGATGAGGCAGCACTGACCTTGGATGGTGACCGCCCCCTGGCAGGCCCGTAACTGGGTAGAGGGAGGAGAGTGGACAAGAGACGATGGGGAGAAGCAGCTGGGGGAGATTTTTTTTAAAGACGATTGGATTGTTCCCTTTGCCAGATTCCACACCGGGCAGATAATCAGCAACAAATTTAATTTCCCCTGGGCTTCTCTCAGGAAGATGCGTCGTCTTGTGTAGGACACGCAGCTCAAGTAGGTGGATGGTGCGAAGAGCTGGCAAAGCCTGGACGAACCCCTCTGAAGTGAGAGTTGTCCCTTGCAGCAGCGCTCCCCAGCCTTCGTGGCACCGGGGCCCAGTGCTCTTACGAGCATCCAATGCCTGATGAGCCGAGGCGGTGACGCCGGCGCTGGGGAGCGGCTGCAGACACAGAGGACGCTGCGCTCGCTGGCCCGCCGCTCCCCTCCTGCTGTGCGGCCCCGATCCTAACAGGCCC